TTAAAGTAGCTTTAGTAAACACTTGCTGCAGAGGACAGAAGCTTTGCATGCCGTCAGTAGCTCTCTGCAGACCTGGCAGCCCTTGAGCTGTCCCACCGTTGGAAATTAGGGTTCGCTAGCTGCAAAAGGCTTTTACCAAGAAGGACCAAAGAGGTAGAAAGAGCAAGAGGCTTCTGTCATCCTATCAATGTGAACCTGATGGGAGTGAAGCAGAACACAACCACTAATGACTAGCTTCTATTTTGGTACTGCTTAGGAATGGAACAGAGAATTGCAAAAGGTATGTATGGAACAGAGAATTGCAAAAGAAAACATCTTCAAACAAGTCAGATGCTCTTATTCCTTTGGAAATCACTTTCTTCACTCTCTGTATATTAGTTTCTGCTTTACGATCAGCATTCCTCGTACTAGAAATTTTATGCTCTTACACTCTTCAACAGTTTTCTTTGAGAGCGCAATAATTAGGAAGTTAAAAGCAGATTAATCCTATCAAAACAGACTGGTTTTACATCTTCACTTGCATTCATTCCTAGATCACAGCTTTTCAGTGATCCCCTGTTAACCCATGAAAGCTGTCCAAAGGAACTGCAGGAATCAATGAACAATCTGTGTTCTTAGTCAGTCTTTTGAGAGCTCTCAAAATACTCTTGAGCCTCACACGGACCAGTGCTGAAACGCTGCGTAGTTTCTTTTATGTGCACAGAATCAAAGCTGAGACAAACCACAGCTGGTGAAATTCCAGCCTCCCGCCCTTGTTTCACAATTGAGCTCAGAACAAAAGGGAAAACAGTCAAACAAAATAGCACAGGACACGTTCCCTTCAGCAGACCGTGGCTTTTCCAAGTAGTGAAAGTTCTCCAGGACTGAGCTTTATTTCAGTGAATAAAGACATTAAAGACATCATGCTAGTGCAAAGCTATTTAACATATATTAGCAGTCAACTTCTCCATATTGATGTTAAACATTAATTTACTAGAAGAATCAGATCTTCTTCTTCTATTATGTTAGTTTATTAGCGAGATCAGGTACTACCTTTACATTCAGAAGGAATAGGAAATTCAGACTGATTCACGAGAACAAGTTGCTAATGAAAAAAGACCACAACCATATGCCAAGTTCCCAGCAGAAGTCTGTTAAGACCTTGGTATTCATTTTCCCATAGCACATACAGTCCCTTTCGCCATAGCATTCACACCTTTAATTACAGTTTTAGATTTAGCATTATCTGAGATAAGGTGTATGCAACTAGAAATTTTCTTGTGTAAAATGATTAAACAACAGAAATAAAGTTTCATAGATATCTTCTTTACTCAACATCATCACATTTCTCACGTGGACACACATCAACTCTACTCAATTCTATGGTCCTCTGAACACTTACTTTCTCCAAAATCACACAGTAGCTTCAAGTAATTTTGCAATTCATCTTCACACTCATGGCATGTTATTCTGTCCTGTTTTTAGATTTTTTTTTAAATAAAGAAACTATGAATGAATTTTTCTTCTTTTTAAAGGGGCAGATCAGGGCATCTGGTAAAAGGAGAAGAGCAGGGAAGGTGGCAACAGAGACAGAATTAAGAGATTATACAGACTGATAGCCAGTGCGACTTTTTCTTCGTCCAATGATATAAGATATAAAGACAAGAATGATAAGGAAGCCAAGTGCCATGCCCACTGCGATGGGAATAAGAAAGTTCAGGTCAGAATCAGCAAAGCATTCTTCAGCTGCAGAAAGAAGGAAAACAAAAAACAGCAAGGGAGAATAAATTAGTAGAGGAAATCAAGCATTAGAAACCAAATAAAGCAAGGAGCAAACAGACATTTTTGAGAACTTACACCGTATTAGATACAATAATACATCTAAAGTAAAATCAGTATTGATTAAAGAATTGATAGATGATTTCTTTACACATATATATTACACAGATCATCTGTATTGGTAACATACTTCTTCCAATTTGTACGTTTAATTTCATCTTCCTCTAGCGAAATCTCACATAGATCAGCAACGTGAGGACAAAGCAGCAGCCTGAGCATGCATTAGCTGATCACATCTAGGAGTTAACAAGCAATATAGCAACAAAAAAAGAGACAGACTGGTATATTACTGCCTTGTCCAAGT